ATGGTTTATCCAGAGGAATAAGCAAGTATGTTTCCTTGACGTAGACCAGACAGCCACCACTTTTACCAGAAGTATGGCCATTACGAAGAATGTTTAAATACAAAACTTTCAAGTAATTTGTCTGTCATCTCCGCTGAACACCAGGTTTCTGCTATTACCACCATATCATGAGCGGAAAGATGAAGAATGTTGCGCAAAGCGCATTTTCTTTAGCAATGAACGAGGATTTATTAATAGTAAATCTAGTATTTCCTTCGGGGCGCCTATAGAAATTCACTTAGAGAGCTGCAAGGAGGTGGCGTTTGGAAAGGATAAGCCAAGGGTGGTGGACACGGTGAACATACAATTTGCGGAATCAGTGTCAGTTAAGGTTGTGGCGGGTAAAGCGCCACAGAACCTAAGTGACTAGTCGAATGGTCGCAAACCAGCACCGGGAAGTTGTTGACTGTGTGCGTGATGGCAACCGGCTGCTATAAAAAAAGGTTGTGGTCCATCGAATGTGCCCATTAGAAATCTCCCAGTTAATGTTACATGCACCTGAGAATGAAACTGCATTCGTGCATGACGGCAGGTAATAACCTAACGCAACTAGATTTGGATTTTGCGTTGAAGAACCGGTACATTTGTGAACGCCACTCGTTTTTGGAGGGTGATGTTCCAGAGTCCATTGACCTGATGTAAATTCTGCTCATCGTTTAATAAAGTATTCATATCATTCCGATTCTTCGGATGCACTAGCAATGGACACGATTCCAGCGAAGGTCGTTGGTGCAATGTTTGCGCACGTAGACAAGCGTTTTCATCTTAAGTGATCCGTCTGTGATACTCGCAAATTGAACTATGCTCATGGGATCAAGAACGTCTAGCGCCGGTTGTGTATCTAAACTCGATTTTAGTTGTTTCGATCCAATTGTTAAGTCAGCAGGTGGATGGCACTGGTTCTGAGATACGAGTTCACATGGGACATCTAGAAGACCACCATCATTATCAACAGCAGTACATCATCCATTTGAATTGATTCTTCGCTGCTATACGACCATAACGATCTATGAAACGATGAATACTAAAAGGGAGAGATGGTGTACTTACCGGAAAACCTTAATGCCCTAAGCGAACATTCAAGGTCAACGTGCCTACATCTTGTCAACTACATACCGTTACAAACAGCTGGTTGTCATGCGAAGATAAGAGCGTCAGCAAGACAGCTTCCTTGCGGCTTTCACTGCCTCGCGTTATAATCAGCCACTACCCTGCAGATAACTCAGCACTAAACCCACTTTAAACAGGCACTCCGACTAGGAGACGACAACAGACGCGCCACTGATGTCGGTTGCGAACCATGTTCTGTAAACTCTGGAGCCAAGCACAAGGCGAGTCACGTGGACTCCAGCTCGGAAGGCGAGACGGACCAACGGCACCCAGTTTAGTCGTCAGTGACTTTATTTCCCGCTGCCAAGTCAAATTCTGTCCACCTCGAGCGTTGCGCCACCCTACAACTAACAGACTAAACAAAGCCCTCCTAGGTAAGCGGTGACCAGGCATACGTAGCACGTAGCCAGACAAACACAAATTATTCAATGCTACCTGTTGTTCTAAGGAGTTAGCTTGATTATCACTGTCTAGTACTCGCCTATGCACATCATCGTTTGTGATCACACTGGTGCCACCTGGCACCAGTAATGCTCCGCAGACAACGATGATCAAAGAATTGAAAGCGCCTGAGAACTTCAGACCGAAGGAGCCAAGTCTCATTCCCATGGGGTAGGACAGCCATCACTGTGGCCTTGTAAACACGACCCTCTAGACCGAGGCAAACCCCTTTTTAACCCCACGGATGTCGCAAATTCATTAAGGCGGTTCAGGCTTTTGCAATGCGTGAACTGATTTCATTTGCTATGTGCCCATCATCGCTGATACAGCCGCCACGATAAGTGAATTGATCAACTACCTCGCTTTCCTCGCTATCTAGGGTCAAGGGATCATCAAGTGCCTGGTGGTCCTGTAGTAGCACTTTGAAGGTGCGAAGCGCGTGCCAACTAATGAGACCACTCTAGCGAGGCTATTCAGGGTTGATTGCGCCGTCCCAGCAGCGTTAAACGGCGAGACGATATCGTCCGCATAATCAAGACCAACTAACCTTTCGCAAGACAACATCTCAATACCTGCATCATGAGATATACCCAGGGAACACTCCATGGTGGAGTCCACGACAAAATTGAACAAAAATGAGGAAATTAGACAACCCTCCCGAATGCCACTTGTTGTCGGAAAGGCATCCGAGAGGTCACCGTAGACCATGACGCGGCCTGTATTGTTCGAGTATAGAGCACCCAGAAGAGGAGATGCGATTGTGGTCTTCTATTGGCTGTGACCCAGTGTGGTTTTATGTTGGATGCAGCGCAAATAGTATTTACTGTCCAAAGAACATCCACAGAATCTGGGGCGTTTAAGGCTAGAACACTGTGAATAACAACATTGTGGTCATGAGTGCTCGTGTAACCTATTTGAGTGGTGGCTCTTGCGTGTGTTCTTGTTGTGATACTTGCTTCACATGGGATGAAGCCTGTATGGTGGATACTTTTGCCCGGTTCGTCGTCGGCATTCAGTACCGACTCTCCACTGTACCAGACGTCGGTCGGGATTGTTTGATGATGTCCTTCGACCAGTGGGGTTGGTATTTCCTCTTTCTTCTCGCGGGTTATAACTAAACTCCTCGTCATTAGATGGATGCTTGGAAGAGTCTAAATCAACGTCGCCACTGGGCAAACGCGTCTGACTATTTTTCTCTCCGTTATGTTATATTTCGGCTGGCGGATGTGTTTTGCCTTTCCAGCGAAATCTTTTAGTTCATGAGCTGTAGTCGCCACTGTTGGTGGATCGTCAGGAATACTTACCATACTAGATGAAGGTGGGTAATTGGTTTCAACGACAGTCAGCAACACAGTCAGGTTCGATGTTGTCGTCGAGCCCATAAGTGGTTTCTGGCTGCGTGATAGCACTAGTCGACGCACAGACAAAAGTGTTGGTGATTGGCGTTTCTCAGTATGGATGAGAAGCTGTCTGTCTTCGCTAAAGCTCCTTTTTACAAGGCATTTTTTCTACTGCACTTTTCAGGGACTGAAACATGTTTTCGTCAAAATTTGGTCCCGTTTTCCGGTAATTTCAGTGGCAAGCAAAGCATCCGCGAATTGAAACGGAATGGGGCGTGAGCGGTGTTGGACCTATTTTCTCAGTCTCATGCAAACACGCGGTACATTAGCCATCTCACTATGTCTAAGCAGAATATTCCGTACGGGAGTGATGGCATTTTGTCGTGAGCATGAAAGAGTGCTGCATTTTTGAACCCCTCGGTTATGTGGATTGCTAGAGAAAATCTGTATACCTTTTGATCTTCACTTAAGTGTGAATAGTGTCTCGCATCGTCGAAAAATAAAACGTCCATTTATTTCTGCAGTTATCGTATCAAGTAAATCCGCTACATGAATTAGTTGATCTACCACTGGACTGGTTGGTATTTGTGGAAGATCAGCGAAGGGCTCAATTTTATTAAGGACTAAGCGGAGATTATCACTCGTTGTCAGTTTGGTTTTTAGCTCATCCAGTTCGTAATGATTGGCTTGGAGCTTTCCAAGGGTGATGGGAACAGGATCAGAGGAGATTACCTGGTTGTATTTGAGATCATTTGTTTTTCTGTGTGACATACTAGTAACTTCGACTTTGCTTCACTAGCGTGTTGCTGGCATTTTTATGGATTTCCGTTGACTCGATTTTAGCTGCGTGATTGGTATTTCAGTGTTAATCTGATGTACAGTGCTAAGGTGGTGGTTGCAAGCCCCTGAATAACATCATCATCGTCATGGATACACGGTAGCTACGAACAATAAACCTAGTTCAGCTGGTGTGCTGCAGTGCATACCAGTTACGATGAATGCGGAAGAAAGACACGAGATACAAAACCATGCAGAATACCTGTAAAACCAAAGTCGTATAAAGCATAACTTGAGAGAACGTGGTTGGAGTGTGAAGATAGGCGGGAGGGGAGGGAGAAGAAAATTCACATCAAAACTTGTATTGGACAGAAACAAACAACTGGGAATTGTGTGTGTTTAACGATAGAGCGAGTCAAGATTGGAGGACTAAAGGATCTCTCTTCATCTTTATTTAGCGAATCCATCGTGACGAGAAAATATACTTGCGCACCGTTTTTGGACTTCCGTCATCTGCCTCACGTAGTTGTTTGCGTCGTAACCCGTATCGATCAGGTTAGTCTGCCAAGTCAAGTGCCTACGTGACGTCGCTTTGTTTGCGACAGTAGACATCGCAGTGTGCGTACCTGTTCTTCAGATGATCCACCATTTATCGGTCAGGTCAGGGCGGCTGCGTGCCGCGATTGCATTTGGAGCGGTTCAGACCGCTTTGCGACTGGGTTTCGAGCAACGTTTGCGCCCCTGTTAACTGGGGATAGACTTTAGGGTAGTCGTCTTACGAAGCTGCCGATACGGTCGTTATTGTTGTCAACAAGTGACTCTAAATTGCCATCAAACTAAAACTAAAATTGAATCTGTGTTGCTTAAAAACCATGAGCTTGCGCGCCTGACTTGCGGTAATAAACACTCGAAATTCGAAATTTGCGAAGAGCTTACGATCTCCAATGAATTCAGAGCACTGAAGAGAACTCGCCGAACCGGCTTGTTTAGATATAGATAACCAAATGTGCAATGAAATGTTGAGTCACGTTTTCGGCTTACGTGGGACGACATGCAAGCCACATCAGAGCTGTGTGTCTCGCCCTTATTCCTATCGGGTACTTGGAAAGTTGCAGACTAACTGCTTTAAACTTCGCTATCGCCTTTGATCGTTCTACTTGTTGCTCAACTATACCGTCTTCTGCTGCTGTTCTTCGGCTCCTCCTGTCTCTTGTAGCACTATGCTAATTGTATCGCTTCTTGTTCCTGCTTTTTACTTATTCCCCATTGCCTCTCTGATTCCCTATTTGACAGGTGATATTGGGCTGATGCACACCGATGGTTCTCTCTCCATCATTGACCGCAAGAAGGATCTTGTCAAGTTACAGGCTGGGGAATATTTATCCCTGAGCAAAGTCGAGTTGGCTCTCTGTCAATCCATTTATGTCGAACAAGTCTGTGTGTACGCTGATCCATCGCAGCAGTATGCAATCTGCTTCGTATCACCCAAGTACAATGCGCTTATCGATCTCGCTTGTTCTTTAAAGCTTAATCATCTGATCGAAGAAGCGAAAGCGAATATGGATCCCAGGGATCGTGATAATCCAACATCCGTGCACCAGGCTCAACTGGCCGTCTTGTGCAAGTCCTCGGTTGTAAGTGTTTGTTGCCGTTTCCCCGAGATAGTCTTAAATTTCTAACATTTTTCGCCGTATTGCGCATTATTCAAGAAAGAAAGGCGTCAGCAGTATCAACGCTTTGCTGCCGCCCAACCAACAGCAGTCGCACATTATTACTACTGTTTAACTATTTGACTCTGGTATCTTAACGGTTCCAGCATCCGTTCAGTTTCCCTAACTGACAACTTTCTCCTTTACCTTCCCTGGGCAACTCTGTCCAACATAAACGTGATGTGAGTTGTAATTAATGACTTCATCCTCGTCTGTGATTTTCAAGCATTTCTTCGTTTCTGTGGCTTGGCCGACAAAGAAGGTACCTGGATCACTTTCTGTTTCCACTTCATTTGTATTCCTCATAACTTCGTTAATGGGATTTAAGCAACCTACCGACTCCATTCGTGCATCCTTTCATGCTTACAATGTCTTCTAAATCTATTAGTCATTGGGATTCGCTGTTGTGTTCTCGAAATCATCCGTATTAGTGTTTTACAATTCGACCGGCATTGGAAATCCCGTAACAAGTCCTGTTCTTGAATGCGTTTTCCCTGCTGGAATATGAAATGGAGCACTTTGAGTCATTTTGTGATCTCGACTGTTTCAGAAAATTTTAGCATCACCCCATCAACCAGGCTATTATCCTCAAGTAAACAGCGCCTCGCTATGCTTCACCACTCTTCTTTAGCTCAAAATTATTCTCTGTTGATACTTCCGCCCATTGTTGCCACAAATTGTCATACCCTATAGTACTGTCTCATTTGGTGCATCAATAATGAAATCTCACTCTGAAATATGCCCCTTTTTATTTTCGGACTTTAACTCTGGATTTGTTTGTCGTGGGTAAATTCGAGAAGAAAGCAGGTTACACATTTCCCTCCTAGTTCTCCTATCTAGTCAGGGTGGTTGAGTTAGCAGCGCAACACCTTCAGCTCAGCCTGTTCTCACACTCGCTTCTTTTCGTACCATATCTGATGTTTTCGATGTTTGCTTTTCTGATTTTCATTTCATGGTGTACCAACTGTTTTTAACCATTCCATTCAGCACTGATATCTCCTTCCGTGCTCGTCTCATACGTCTCTCAAATAGTCCACAGTTTGCTCCTTTTGCTCGACGTTTCGGTTCATTATGATAGAGGTCGTTTAGCAAGTATTCGTTTCCTTGCACTGCGGTTAGACTTACGGATTATGGCTTAGAGAATGTATCAGTGCATCAAGTCTAACCGTCTCATTTCAACTATCAGTTATCATACTTTGTTATTTCACTCCCACAGCTAACTGCTGCCGTTCTGAAAGATCTTCATCGTGTCGCGCGAGAGAAGCGCTTGAACACATTCGAAATACCCCAGAAAGTTCACCTTGATCCGATTTCTTGGACACCGGATACTGGTTTAGTTACTGATGCCCTGAAATTAAAAAGATTCAATTTGCAAGCACGGTTTCAACACGAGATTGATCGCATGTATGAGAAGTCAACCCGGACTTGATTCGGCTGATTCGCAACCTGATGATTACGTATCGTTTCCAATTTTCTGATCAGTCGTTAGATTCTCGATTCCTGACGTCCATATGGGTTCCTGATCAAAGAGTACTCCTACCTACTTGTATGCATCGTTAGTGCTACACCATAAACTTCTCTTCATGTGTGATGATGTTCTGACACACGCGTGGGATGTTTCTGTCACTCGGGTTCCCAAACCCTTTTGTCCAAACATACCTCTTTTTGTACACTTCAGGATGGCTTTCGCTTCCCATTTTTCTTAACTTTTCCTGTTCATTTTTATCCTCATCTCTCAACCTGAACTATTTGTGTTTGAGTGACACGTTTTCAATTTCCCCTATGTCATATTGTAGTTTGGTCCTTTGCTTTTCCACCCAATCTTGATGATTTTCATGTTACTTTTGCATTTTTCCATTTTTTTTGTTTGCCTGCAATGTGGCAACGTGCACAGTCTGTTTTTGCCTGTGTCACTACTACTACTTTTTGTAATTCCGGCTTTGCCACCACCCCCCGCTCGTATCGGTGCGTGTGTACAGCCACCTTTGTTCGCACACTTTTGTAACTTTGTCCTATCATCTGTTTCACTACGAAAATGTCCAAAAACGTGACGTAGTACATTCTTCTAAATATAGTCTTACAGATCTGGACGCCATTAACAAATTGACGTTTGAGTGAATCACGGGGTATGCTAAGCCTCCGCATGCCAACTATTCCCATTTCATTGTTCGTAATCACGACCAGAAATCGAATTGTGGTTGAAGAATTCTTTTCGGATAAAATCTCATCAGACTCATACGTTTACATGATGGATTAGGTGTAGAAATGCCGTAAAGAGCTACCTATTGATCGCACACAGTTTGGACGATAGATTCAATAACCTTGTCACTGCTACGGATAATGTACCTAGTCAACAAATGGAATAGTAGGTAAAAATTCAAACAGAAAGAAGATAGACTAATATAATGATAATCAATTAGTTACGTAACAGCGCTCGTTGGCCAACGTAACGAAACACACAACTCAGGTTTCAAGTGGCGAAGGTATATGGCCTGTGCAATAGATAGCAATTGTTTACGAAAGCATCGTGAGTAGCGTTCAGGCAATAAATAGATCACTTCGAAGACGTTCGCTGATACTGCATGGCCTTATTCAAGGATATGTGATAAAATCGATCTGTTAGAAGACTTCATTTCACCTTTGTAGTACCATATTGGTATATGCTCGCAGATCCTCTGGGATAAACGCCTCGAAGTGCGACTGACGTATCTTGCACCACGATACACAAACGTAGATCAAGCCAACAAAGGTAGTTTATCTTTCAAGGGCCTATCCAGCAGTGGTTTATCGTAATAAACTATTCTCAAACGAGCTGCGGGATGTCTTCTCAACAGCGGCTTTCATGCGTCGAGATAATACATCGGCGGGTGCATCGCTCTTAAATAGAAAATGCATAAAAAGTTATTTCATCGGAGCAATGCTCTTAAATAGCTTACCTTCACGTGCTCTCATTTGTTTCCTGGTAAATTTGTTCGGCTATCCATATTCTCTAAGCGTGTCGCTGACTTTCTGCAGTTCCTCATTGACGGTATCTGGTGTGCAGATACTGTGCGCTCTGAAAACAAGAGATTATACCAAACTCCGTTTGTACTGCAATGGTATCGCGCTGTGAAAGTTGATGTACTCTCCAGTCCATGTGCATTTTGTGTAGAACAACTGTGTATGGAGCGCTGCGTCCCGTCCTTTACTACACGTTCTCGAAGCTGTGTAAGACCCTGGGATTCAGCGTCGCTCTGAGAGGTTTGCGAGTCCATCACTGTTTAGGTCTTTATTGTACGCACGAGCTTTGCATGACCTGATCGATAGCTCTCTCGTTTGGATGTCCCCAATTCATTTATGTTACCATCCGAGCAAACGTCGTGGACTGTGTATAATCTAGGTTCACTATTCGCGGGTAGTGACTGGTAACTTGCTAGTTATTTTCCTACCATGTGACTTTGTCCGTATGACGATCCTAGTTTTGATTGTGAGTTCAACAAGTTGCAAGTACAGCTAGTGCCAAATTTTGTATAGGCTCCTGATTGCTGGGTGTATTCTGCAGCTGTCTCCTAACTCGGCACATTATCAGTTTGGTTGGCGCTGACACAGGGGGCCACATCACTTCAGCTACTTTGAAAGCAATCAGGAGGACGGTGAGGACTGGAACGTAAGTCTATATCTAGTCTGAATGAAGCTGTTGTCAAGGTCGACATTATCTATGCTTACATCATTACTGGTTCCGCTAGCAGCAACATGCGGAGATCGATAGGCTGTGGCTATGCTGTTGCCTTAGTCACCTTTGAGGAGGTGTTTGATGGTGTTTAATCAAATATTTTGAAGTTAATTTTTGCAACAATTAGTCTATTGCATACGAATTATGATGCACCCTTATGGTCATGAAACTTCAAGAGCATTAGGCATGATGTTATGTTTTCCTTCTTTCACAATCTGAGGCATTGACAGGTGATTTCATTCATATTACACGCTGTTAGCAGAGCAATTTTTTACTCTGTCGATATTTCACTTATAGGGTACCTTAAAGGTAGTAACATTTTGCGATCTACATAGACGTTCTTGAATCTCGATGTGCTTGAAGATAGTAAGGAAATAGTCACGCATAATCGGTCTAGCGTAACATTTGCTGAACGGATTGTTCGAGTCCCCTACACATACCACTCGAATTGCGCGCAGCAGCACACACGTTTCAATGCTTTATCGACTCCGTAGTACGTGTACTCGAATTCGTTGACCCCATTCATCGACGTTGTTTTAGTGATGTTCCTCGGCGGTGGGGCACGAAACACATCTACAGTTTTTGTTCGGACAGTTAAAAGCACGCAATGTCTCGTCGACCCCGACAAGTGCAATTTCATACAGCTGCGCACAGAGTTCCCAAAAACCAACTTGAGCTTACGCCTGCCAACAATCCGGTAAGTGTGCGAGGCTCCTGCATGCTCAGTCCAACCTATCGTGTACCCAATGAAGCTATGGGCAAAAATTGCCATCGATGTTATGGGCCGGTTTGCCACTGCACCCCCCGCAGAAGCGAAACGTGCTAGTGGCTACATGTTTCTACAGCAAATGGCCAGACGCTATTCTATTCGGGGACGTAACTACAGCCATCATCATAAAGTGGCTCGGTTGTTTGTTTGCAAGGTACGGTTTGCCAGAAGAAATAGTCACTAATAACGGCCCACAGTTTCGAAGTAACGAGTATGCTGGATTCCTAAGGCGCAATGGTATCAGACACACGAGGACTGTACTATTGTACAGACGAACACACCTACTACACAGCGCTCGGTACAAACCAATACAAATCTACGACATTCCGGTCGGATACGCCGCCCTGTCTACCGATACGCCTTAATGGATAACACCACATGACAATTCTTTGGGGGGGGGGCTGACATTAAATTAAATCCTACATGTAGTGCCTCTATGTTACGAACAGAGGAGGGGACAATGTCTTGTTCAAATACTTTGCTTGTTTTTACCCTCGATTTGCTTATCCTACTCAGACTTCTATTTAGCACTTGCCGGCCTATCATGTGATCTTGCATTTGACTGGTTGCAATGCGAACCTCCATCGATTTAATTGTACTGCGCGTATGTGCGGATAGTTTCCTCCATACATACCTTCTGGTCTGTTGCTTTTTCGGGATACAACACGATGGTATCCCCGCTTTACTGGACGGAGTCCGGGCAATCAGCGACTTTCTTCTTCCAGCGATTCTGGTCGGCATTCGATGCTTCAACGGCGTGATCAACTACTACCCCCAATTCCTGCTACGCTGCACCGAGCTTACACAACCTCTTACGGATATTCTATATAGACGCAACAACTGTAAAGTTGATCTTGCGTCTGAAATGCAAAAAGCTTTCGAGGCCAGCAACGGGGCATCAGCTTCCGCCGTCCTGCTTCGACTCGAACGTTCCCATCAGTGTAGCCGTCGACGCCTGGGAAAACACAATTGGCGCTATCCTACAGCAGTTTTCTCAAGGTTGCTGGCCACCACTATCGTTCTTTTCTCGACTTCTTTAGACAGCCGAAACGGAGTACAGAACAAAGAATTGCGGATTACTTGCCGTCTGTGGTGCGGTTCGTCATTTTTATCACGTCCTAGATGATAATAGTATTACGGTTTTTATCGATCACAATCCATGTCTACGCTTTCCGGAACACTTCACCTGGTGATTTTCCTTCGGACTTCTGTGGGTTAGGCGTAATCATGTACATAGTCAGAACAGCATGTGCGAGGACTTCAACTGACCAGTCTCTTTCAGCCTCGAGCAATGCCCGCTTAAAGGTATCCACAAATCTCACAGCTTACTCATTGGACTGTGGGTGATAAGGAGGCAAATGCATGTGCTCCATGCCTTGTAACACACAAAATTCTGCAAACTGGTGTATTGTGCTCCATCGTCGGATACGAGTGTTTCCAGACCAGACTGAATACTTCTCTCTATGTGGGGGGTTTTGGCCAAGCTTGAAGTGTTCAACGTTTGGAAACTCTCAGACCACTCTTTGTACGCATAGATAATGAGCAAGGAAACCCTCTTTTGATTGGCCTTGCAAAATCAAATTTAAGCCTGGATCATGGACGTCGGCCAGGAGAACAGTTCGCAGTTCCGCGGTAATTCTGTTACTGGGGCCCACTTCCGACAAGAACACTGTAAGTCCTCAATTTGAGAATCCATAACCGGTCAGTACACGTAATTTCTCACTAGTGCCTTCACTTATTGTAACCAGGATGTTCAGCAAAATCTGCCGTAGGACTTTGGATTGGAGTTCAGCTAGAATGTAGATAACACGTTCATCAAACAGGATACAGTCTCGAACGAAAGATAATGCATTTCGTCTCTGGAACAATTGCTGTAGCTGCGCGTCCGAAATCTTTCGGCATTAGTGTGAGTGGTAAAACGGTTTTGTGATTCGTTAGTAGGATAAAATGACGGTCGTGTATCACCTAGTGGAAATGCCAATCGTTTCTAGATCTGATCTTGTCTGGGTTACTTGATATCTCTTCTGCTGCGGTAACGTGCCCAGGGGACGTAACTTCTGTTTTTAACATTTAGCACCTTTGAGGTCACAATCTAAATTCATTGTCCGCAAGGCTACCTAGAACTTTATCAAAATTCACCAGATGTTCCTCCAAAGAGCGACCATGCACGGTTACCTCGTACACACTACTACTGGTGCGAGGTTTAACCGTTGAAACGTGGCAGATGTATTCGACAACCCAAAAAGAATGGTTTGCACATTCATACAGTCCGGATGGTAGTATACAGGCTGTTTTCTCTCCGGCTTTTACCAACTTCCACCTGCCAGTATCCCGAGGCAAGGTCCATAGTTGCAGACTGCGTACCGCCAAGGATTTCTAAATTTTCATCGATGCGAAGCAAAGGAAACGAATCCCCGCGGGTCACCTCATTGGGCTTACGGTTGTCTACACAGTGGCTAATGTGCCTGTATTCTGCTTGACAAAGACAATGAGTTAGGCCCATGTTGTGTTCGATGTTGCGATTATTTCTGCATCTAACATATTTACCATACTTTCGAGCTCTTCACGATATTAGACAGGGTCCCAGGATGCCCTTTGAATGATCGGAACTGCTAATCCCGTGTCAGTCTTCTGGCGTAAGATATCCGTGCGTCAAAGTGTATTTCCGACCCAGGTGAAAGCAGATGAGTTTTTCTTACCATGTCTCATAACATATTAAGCGCGTCGGTGGAACTGGTACCTATG